AAAAGTTAGAGCTGCTATGGTGTCGGCAACTGAAGGGGGAGGACGTGGCCACCAGCGGTGCCTCACCGTCCTCCCTCCTGAGTCGATCCACCACCTGCCTCAAAGCGCCTAGTTCCTGTGGCACGACGAACGACAGCTCGGCGGCAGATGAGGATGAGCTAGGCTGCAACGGGGCCCCACCCGAAGCATCCGCTCCAGGAGCGGAGGGGAGGAGAAACCAGTGTGGGGGAATCGAGCCACTTCTTCCTCCGCTTCAGTCGGGAAAGCAACCTGGGCCGCCACTGGCCTGGCAAGGGTGCAAATCAGCACCCGGGGAGTCGTCGCCCTACACAGGCCAATCATTCTACGGGCTGCGCTCAATCGAGATATGCGGCTAAGCTTGGGATGCGCTTCTCGACAGATCTGGGACTAAACGTCCTTGGCCCCCGAGCTCCGCGGGCGCTTGCTGCAGTGATTCAACAAATGCCCAGTCCGATCACGACAACAATGCGACTTACAACGACGGCAAATCACCAGCGCACACGAAGCATTACCAGATAGGGCAGTGCACCTGTGGTGGCGAGCCGACCAGAGTTCCACGTCGAGCCTGGACCTGCCCGGACACTTGCCAGGGGCCGGCGGGGACCTGGCGCCAGGGGGGCCTGCGTTCGGGAGCTGCGCAGGGGGCCGACCGCCCCTCGAGACGACTGGGGAGGTATTGCAGATCCAGAGAGGGCCAATCTGCCGCCAGCCATGTGGACGCACGGGCTTCTTGCCGGGGGCCGCTTCCTGCTTTCCGCCGAACTTGGGGCCCAAGTCGAGCGAAAGCCAAAAAGGCAAAGGGCGAGCAGCAAAACCAACCCGCGGCCCTGGCGCCAGCAAGCTGCCCGCCTAGAAGCTCGAAGTCCTCCGAGGGCGGCAAAGAGTGCGACGGCGGACGGCGCAGCAAGCTTGGCTGAAACATCGCATAATTATTGCCTAAGCACAAAACGCGGCCTCGTTCGCCAACCGCTTCATCCACATCTAAATGGGCCTTCACTTCATTGACAGCGAGGGAGGGGAGGTCGAGGCGAGCGAACTGAGCACAGCCACAGTACATGCGCTTGTGGCAACATTGTTGGGCTCAAGGCAAATTCGCGCGATCGATCCACCACTCTTTAGCAATCCGAATGCACAGCGGGGGCCCGGGCAGTAAACCGAATAGCAGCACAGAAGGCATGGAATGCAGCGCTCTGGGGCGTTTGCGGGTCCGGAGGCCGCGCTGGGCCTCGGGCCCGAATCGTTTCCTCGCTACAGGACGGGCCGAGTAGGGAAACCGTCAAACCAGCGCGCGCAAGATCCGAAATTCGATGGCGCAGGCTCAAACCATCAACGAAGATCTCACCCCCGAGGCCCGGGTCCATCAGCAAAGATCTCACCCCCGAGGTCCGGGTCGAAATTGGGCCCCCTAAGGCCTTCACGTAATTTCGCAACCAGCCCTTCTGCATGGAGAGGCCGGGGAACATGCTCAGCTGGGCGAGGGGGAGGCGCCGTGACAAGCGAAATCGTCGCAGGCCTCAGCTGCCCAAGCCTGAACCCGAGCTGGAACTCGCCCACCCCTCCGGGCGAAGCAGGGCGGACACAGCCTCAGTCTGCGACGAATGCTGTCCTTAGCAGAGCGGCGCAACTCACAATCAGCATCGGTCACGCATCCCAAGGCGAAACGGGCCGCATTGCAAAAAAAACGAAGAACCTGATGCAACAAGTCTGGAGCGAAGGCATCTTTCTGGAGGTGAGCCACGAGATAATGCCACCCGCGCATGCGCAACCCATGTTGCGGCGAGCTTCCAGGTCCCATTCCACCACCTTGGGCTCGCTTCAAGAGAAGCCGGAGCATGGCAGACTTCCGGATGAGACGCGCACCGATGCCACGCTCATCTCTCGAAACGGTAAACGGCGGCATGGTTCAATTCATCTTCTCAAGAAAGCTCCTTGTCGCACAGAGGGGGCCAGAGACCGGGCGCCGGAGGCATGAGGGGCGAGAGAACGTCACTTCCCAAGCCGCACGGAGCGCGGCCAACGAGAGGCAGTGGGGGCACAAACTGCGGCTAATTACCCGGGCCTCCTCAGCCCGCCGATAGATTGGAACAATCGCCGCGACCCATGGAGGGCCACCGCGGCAGAACATCAGGGCAGTGAGACAGCGCCCCCCCAGCGTTAGGAAGGGCCTTGCCAGCCAACCTCCCGAGGGAAAGAATCCCCGGATCAGCCGCGCCAGAGAATTCCGCGCCATGCGCTGCGCCAGGACGGGGCCCCACACTAACGGCCCTTTTTGCCCTCTGCCCGCTGACCGCGGGCCTCGAACGCACCGAACGCACGGTTCGATCCCTGGCCTTGCGAAGGCGCCCCTTGGCCCTGGGGGAACGCTCCGCAGCGGCGTCGTCGACCCCGGGATCCACGGCCGAGGCAGAGTCGCGATCGGACCCACCTAGGCCACCCACGACTGGCCATAGCAAGGGCCCGCCAGAGGATGCTGGAGGAACGCGCCAGGGCCGCATTTTCGACGCTGACCTGGGCGCCGACGCCGTTGATCGAAGCTTCGCGATGGTCAGCGGCAGCCCTGGCCAGTCAAAATTTGCCCAACAAGGCCCGTGGCCAAAACCCGCTGTCGGCGATGCGCAGTTTCAGGCGCGCACCTTGGGAGGGGCCGAGGGCGCCCAGAGCGCGAATGACATTGGCCCCGACGCAGGGCCAGTCCGCGCGCGGCCCCCGCCACGGCAAGGAAGCGGGCTCGGGCGCGCATTGCAATGCAAAGGTAAGAGATGCCAACGAGGAGCCCAGCCTAGTGGCACTTCGGCGCCAGCGCGGCCTCGCCCCCCACTGGCAGCGGCGCCCCCCGCGCGCGCAGCTTGCTTGGCGCCGCGAGACGCCGGGCCCCCTAGAATGGGCTCGCGCAGAAACGGGGGCGCATCGAGCGTCGCCCAGAATCGCCAGCGAAAGGCCAGCGAAGCTTGCCAAGTACCCCGAACGCACTGCAATGAAAGCTAAAATGCTCACAGTAATCTGAGAAGGCGTAGTCGCCGAACTCCCAATGAAAACCAGCAGGTCACGAAGCAGGCGCAGGCTGGACTCGTAGATTATGTTCGCATGCCCCATGTGGATACTGTCAGTGGCCACGGCCGAAGTGCCCCGAAGCGCCCTCGAGATGGCGAAGAGATCTTCGGGCTTGAGCGCGGGGGGCGAGGGGTTTAAAACGCCCTCGGGCATCCAAGGCCGCCTCTTGCCGCCCCCGCCCCCCCCCCGCGCCACCCCGATGGGCGAAAGCTCTTGGCGCGGAGCAGCGACGGCGGATCCGCAACCGCCGTTCCATGCGACGATGAAAAGGTGGTTCGGGCCTGGGGGGCGGGCCCCTTGGACGCCGCGCGGATGCGCGCGGCCAACCTGGCCAGCGCAAAGAAGGAACTAATCTCGCGAATCTCGCCACGCCACCGAAGCCGCCTACCCGGCATCGGATTTGACCTCCGAAAACCCGCGTGAACATTGTCGACCCAAGCAGAAACGAAACATAACGTGCCACCTCGATGCGCCGACGCGCTGGCAACCCCTTTGGCGAGCCCGTGAGACGGGAAGTAGGAGTCATGCACCTTGGAACCCCGGACAAATTTACACGCAGCTTCACCTGGGATGGCCCACTGGCCCAGCTCATCCCCGATGAACGACTGCACCGCGGCCTCGGAGGGCCATGTTAAAGTTGCGATCAATAAGACCAAGGCAGCCAACAGATTCGAGCGAAGCACTTGATTTCGAGAGAATGTCCCAGTTGCCCGAAGAGGCCCTGGCAGTCGCGCAAGTACAATGAAATTGCCGAAGAACAAACCTGCGCGTCGCCTGGCCGCTGAAGAACAGAAGCAATGGCGCGGCTGTCGACCTCGGCCCCGGAACCAAGGAAGCATAATCCCATGCCAGCGGGCGCCAGAATTGCCGCGCCTGCTGACGGCCCACCATGGGGGTTTTGGCAGGCAGGCAGGCCGGGACAGCGATTTCCGCCCGCGCCCGCGGCGCCACGAGGACGCCGAGCCAAGCGCACCATGGAGCAAATGGTGCTCCTCGAGCAAGACCACCTGAACAGTAGATCTTTCCAGCGACGGACGCGAAGTTGTTCTGAGCGGTCTGCGAGGGCCCCAGCGGTTCCACGAGCGGGGGCCCGGAGCGCCCTACATCCTCGGGCCGCAGAAATCCACGACGAGACGCGGCGAGACTAGAACGCGCGGCCATGTCCACGCTGGGGCCTGCGCAGTCGGAGGGGGGCGCCGGCGCCCGGGGACAAGTCTCGAAGTCGCCCGACGCGGGGGCCCTCAGAAACTGCGCAACTCCCCGGGGGCCCCGCAGAGGGGGGGCGGAGCGCGCCCTGGTCAAGACTCGGCCAACTCCCGAAACGAGGTTCCGAGCACGGCGCAAAGTAAACCTCGCGCAAGATAATGAAGACGACTCGGACACGCGCGCGCGGACTCGACCACTGTCACCTCTGGGCCCTGGCAAATCGCAGGCGCGAGCGGCCACCCACACTAACGAAGGGCCCAGAGGCTCACCGAGGGGGGCCTCTCCATCGAGTCTGCAAGGCGGGCCCACATGCCCGGGGGGGCGGGCTCCTGGGTCCTAAGCGGCGGAGAACTAGAGAATTGGCCGCGCCCCCTGATGGTTCTGCCAACGCCAAGGCCAGCGGAGACACGGCAGGAGCGCTGAGGCGCACTGGCGCGCCGCGCCTCAGAATTGAAATAACGCCGATGCACTTCGCGCCGCTGCCCCCCCCCCCCCCGCTACCCCGCGGCGGCGGGGGGGGGGGGCTCCTGGAGATCCGCGCGGCCAGGAGCACCCTCGCCCGTCGCGGCCTCCTGGGGCGACTCCGCGGGGGCCCCCGCGGCCGGCCCTCCGCCCTCGGGCCGAGGGGCGCCGGCAGCCCCAACGGGAGCATGAACGGGAGCACCGCCCCGGTCATCAGGTCTGCGACGACGCTTGGCGGCGAAGCGTTCGAAACCATTATCCTGGTCGTTCTGGAAGGCCCTGGCCTTGTCCACCCCGTCGCCGAAGAGCTTGAGCACGGCGCCCTGGTCTGCCTGATGAAGTTCACGCGACCTCTCAACTTCTCCCAGATCTTTGCCAATGAGCTCGCAGTCGTCCTGGGGCTTGAGCAGCGAGTCGATCGAGATTGGGATATCCTGAGCGCTGCCCTGGAGGGTGGCGGATATGCCCAACGTCGGTGGGGGGTGGGGGGCGGTGGCGGCTGGCCAGGCTGCGCCAGCTGCTCGTGCAGCTGCTGAACAAGCTTGGTGTGGGCCGCCTCCGCTTTACCGAGCGTCTCGCTGAAGCTGCGGATGCGTCCCCGCTGCTGGTCGAGGTCCACCACCATGCGATCGTACACTGCACATGCTTTCTCAGTCTTCTCCCGTAGCTCGTGCACCTCGAGGAGTGCTTGGTTGACTTCGGCCTGAAGAAGAACAGCATGGGTGGCCAAGTCGCGCTTCTTCCTGTCGAAGACGAGCTGATGCCGCTTCGCGCAGGAGGAGGAGGAAGAGGAGGAAGAAGAGGAGGAGGAAGAGGAGGAGGACGAGGAGGAGGAAGAGGAGGAGGCTTGTGTACCTAAGCTTCCTCGCCAGCCTGACTCGACGGGCGACCGCCGCGGAGCCGCAGTCGCCTGCCCATGAACGTCATGGCTCTGACAGGAGAGCCCAGAATCGAATCGATAAATCGGATCGGCAATCGACATGAATCGGATCGGCGGAAATCGGCAGCCGAATCGGGAAACGTCGAATCGGCGGAAATCGGCAGGCTAGTATGCCTCCAATCAGAAATCGGAATCCAAATCGGAAGCCCAAATCGACTCGAATCGGAATCGGAATCCATCGAAGTCGAATCGAATCGAATCGGAGGAATCGAAACGAGCCCTGCTCTGACGTCTTCATTGTCTGCGTCGTCGCGCCCTTCCCGGATGCTGCGGTGATCCGTGCCGCGCCACACGCCTCGGACGAGGAAGACAGCGACCTCTACCCGACCCTCCTTCCTCGATGTTCGGCTGGGCGCTGCCGGTGCGGCCGAAGCGGCTGTCGGCGCGCAAATGCTGGAGGAGCGGCAAGGGCACGGCGAGACTGGGGTGTCGAGACACGACCTCGGGGAAGGGCACGCGGCGGCGGGCGCCGCCCTCACTCGACCTGGCCAGCGACGAGTTTGCCATGGCAGCGGCTTCGTGGCTGCTGAAACAACCTTTGACTGGCAGCTGCATAACGCCTTCGACACGCAGGCTCGGCTAGTGAGGGCGGGCGGGAGGTGGGGGCTGGCAGCCGACGGGGGTCCCAGATGACGTGTGAATCGCAGTGCTGCGCGCTCCTTGACCCGGGTGCAACGTGTGTAACCCATTTCAACGTTTCACTTCGGCCGCGCTGAGGCGACGAGGCTTGATGTCAAGCGCATGGCGCTCCGCTTCCGCACCTCGGTCAAAAGCAGTGCTGCGTGCTCATGGCGTCCTGTGCCGTAACATGTTCTCCGTGCTTCAACCGCAGTCTTGAACTGTCTGCCGCGTTGACGCGGCGGGAATGTGCTGTCAGGTGAACGCCACTCAGCTCCTACACCTCGCGAACGATGGCCTGCGGCTCTTCACGCTCGTGGCCCCCAGTGCAGAATCTGTATGTTCGTGGCTCTCTGCCTCAACTCTTGCACTCTTGCCGCGCTGAAGTGCGCAACGGTGGGGAAGACGGCGGGACTGTCGCAGCCCCCCCGTGGAGCACGGCACTCCGCTTCCGCCCACTCCTGAGGATTCTGCCGCCCTCGCGCTTGGCAACGTGTACCCTCTGTTCTGCGCGCTGCCGGGCGCACCCCGGCTGTGTACCCATCGGACGGAAGAAGTAGGTAGAAACATGAAGTAGGAAGGCGTTGGAAATAGATTGGGTTTCCGCCCGCCTCCTGAAGAGGAAGGAAAAAGGAAAACCACCCGACTCTTGAAGTAGGAAGGCGCTGAAAGTAGATTGGAATCTGGGAATCCAAAAATACCTACTTTCAACGACCGATGGGTACCCTCTGTTCTGCGCGCTGCCTTGGCGCACCCCGGCCGTGTACTGTCCAGCGCGTCCTCTGCAAGGGCGTCGCATCAGCCACGACTCCCTGCCGCCTCGGACTGGCGGTGAGCTTCTAGGGTGGCCCTGATCTGGGCGGCGCCTGGGTGGTCCTGGCGCAGGGCGGCAGTTTTGTCCGTCGGGTTCGTGGCTACGGCCCCCGTGTCACATACCTATACGACCACCCTTCGGGTGATAAGGAGGTTCGGGGGGGGGGGGAAACCAACGTCTCACTCGATCGGTCTCACTATCGATCTCAGTATCGATCTCACTATCGGTCTCGCTCGATCGATCTCACTCGATCGATCTCACAATCGATCTCACTCGATCGATCTCATTCGATCGATCTCACAATTGATCTCACAATCGATCTCACAATCGATCACACAATCGATCTCACATTCGGTCTCAATATCGATCTCACTATCGATATCACAATCGCTCTCACAATCAACGTCATCATCATCATCATCATCATAATCATAATCATCATCAACATCATCAACATCAACATCATCACCAACATTGTCATCATCATGAGGGCACCGTCATCATCATCATCATCAACATCATCATCAACGTCAGCATCATCATCGGGACAACATCATCATCATCACCATCATCATCTCATCATCAACATCATCATCATCATCATCGGGACAAACTCATCGTCATCATCATCAGCAGCATCATCATAATCATCATCCTAATCGGGGCACCATCATGATCACCATCGTTCTCATCATCAGCATTATCATCAACATCGTCATCATCCTCGGGACACCATCATCATCATGATCATCGCATCATCATCATCGACATCATCATCATCATCATCAACAACATTATCATCATTGGGACACCATCAGCATCACCATCATCATCACCATCATCATCATCATCAGCAGCATCATCGGGACACCATAATCATCATCACCATCATCATCATCAACATCATTATCGCCGGGACACCATTTCCATCAACATCATCATCACCAACATCATCGGATCATCATCATCATCATCATCTCCATCATCATCATCATCATCAGCATCATCATCGGGACACCATCATCGTCATCATCATCAACATAATCATCATGAGCATCATCATCCTCAACATCGGGACACTATCATCATCATCGACACCATCATCAACATCATCATCATCTTCATCGGGACACCATCGTCATCATCATCATCATCATCATCATCATCATCATCATCATCATCATCATCATCATCATCATCATCATCATCATCATCATCATCATTATCTTCATCTTTTCATCATCATCATCCTCGCGGGACACCGAGGGACACCGCGGGGCACCACGGGACACCGCGGGACACCGCGGGACACCGGCGGGACACCGCGGGGCCCCGGCCGCCCGGAAGGGAATCATTTGGTCCGGCCGCGCCTCAGCCACACGGGACACCAGCGGGACACCGGCGGGACACCGCGGGGCCCCGGCCGCCCGGAAGGGAATCATTTGGTCCGGCCGCGCCTCAGCCACAGGAGACTTTCTCTCGCCCGCCCACGCAGGTTCGCTTCGCCCGCACGCACCGCACGCACGAACACGAAACCGAAATCGATTTCCCGGTAGGGGGGCTCTCCGTTCCACTTCGATCTCACCCCCTCACCTCCGACCTCAGGGTGGCCCTGATCTGGGCGGCGCCTGGCTGGTCCTGGCGCAGGGCGGCAGTTCTGTCCGCCGTCGGGTTCGTGGCTAGGGCCCCCGTGTCACATACCCGTACACTGCGGAGCTATCATCGTCGTAATGGTCATCTCTTCATCGTCGTTGTCACCATCATCTCGCTTTCCGCCTCAGGTCAGAATATCGTCGACATCATGGTCATCACCATCGGAATCATGAAAGCGGCGTCGCCACCATCAACAGGACCATTGGCGTTCCCACCGTCGTCGTTATCACCAACACCATCACCGTCACCATCGCAATTACCGTCACCGTCACCGTTACAAGAATCATCATCATCAACATCATCATCATCATCATCATCATCATCATCATCATCATCATCACCATCACCATCACCATCACCATCACCATCACCATCACCATCATCATCACCATCACCATCACCATCATCATTTTCACCATCACCATCACCATCACCATCACCATCACCATCATCATCACCATCATCGTCATTATCAGCAGCATCAGCATCATCAGCAGCATCATACTCACAATCAGCAGCATCAGCAGCATCAGCATCAGCCTCAACAACAGCTTTATCCTCGTCGTCATCATCCTCATTACATAACACCGTGCTTATGATAGCCTTCTTCGTTGCCGTCGTCACCCTACCCCTCCACATCACACTCTTCACACTCATGCTCCTATCCACCCCATATGTCATTTAACATCTGCGTTCGTGAGCCTCATCGCTGCAATCGCCATCACCAACACGAGGCACCTTGCCGACGGCAGCGAACGCGGGGATCACCAGCACTGCGAACCGACGGTTGCGGTAGCAGGGCCAAGTGCGGTAGGTATTTGTCGCTGGACGGCTGAATGAAGGAAGCATGGATGACCAGAAATGACAGGGCATGGAATAAAGGAGAGGTCGAGGCTGAGGGACAGATGTATAAGAGGGGCGACGAGAAACGGATAGGGAATCCGCCGTCCCTGTCAGCGTGTGTGTGTGTGTGTGACGTTCTTCCGTTTGGGTCGTCGTCGTCGCTCTTCTTTGGACGCCCGAAATGGGTACGGAAGGAATGGACACAATGCCCAACAGCAAATGTTGTCCCGAACCAACAACGACCGCTGTTTGGCAGGCGGCCTTCTGTCTCAAATGGAAACAAGCCGCGGCGGCGCGGACAGCGAGTCCTGTTCAAAATGAACAGGAACTACTGCTGGGCATCGTACCCACTCTTTCCGTGCCCGTGTCCGTCGTCGATCTTCCATTTTCCCTTTTCCCTGGGCCCTCCTCGTCAAGCCCCTCTCCTCTGATCCCTTCCTTTTGGGGGGCAGCGGGGGGCGGAGTCCCGGAGGGGGGCGGGTCCGGGGAAAGGGGCGCAGGCGGAGGGTGCCGGGGAGGGGTGGTCCCGGGGGGGGGGAGGGCCCGGGGGTCGTGTCTTTGGAGACGGGGGACGGCACCGGCCTAAGGCCTTCTCCATAAACATGAGGCGCGAGTTCCCAGAAGGGCTGCGAGAGAAGTAGGAGTATGAGGATGATGATGGTCACACCGCGCACCTCGTGCGCTGGGGCGAAGCTTAAAATATTGCGACATCTGCAGACGAGGAGAAGGAGAGAAGGAGGAAAATGAGAAGAGGGAGGATGAGGAGGGGGTGGATGCGAGGAAGATAAGGATATGAGGGGGATGGGGGAGACATAATCTACACAGAAAGCAGAATGCGCAGAGCTAGGCCCACGCCAGGCAGCCTTCTCATAGAG